GATTCAATCTTTACTATATACCTCTCAACGCTACACGCTACACCTCGAGCTGCGGGCACATGTCCTTAATCTCGTCTCGTCTCTATCTATCCACAAGCTATCCACGTATCCACCTTCCTACCCGTACGCGTATCCACATCCTGTTGTCTGTCCCCTCGTTCTGTCGGTTTCTAACTTTTCTCGCGACTTTCATGCCCGTGATTTTTTTGTTGTAGGTCTTGACTCCTGGGTTTTGGGTCGCAGTCGGCCATGCCTCCTCCTCCTCATTCTACCTCGACATCCGCACATCCGCAACCTATCGTTTCATCCCGCGTGGTCAACTTGGCGGACCCTTACTGCTTACTGCTTACCCCTCTCGTGCGTGCTGGCGCAACATACACACTAACTCTCCGCCTCCAAACAGAGGAGATTCGAATTATACTGGGATTGGCTTCAGTTTTGGACCTCGCCACCTGGACCGATGCCAGTCTGGGATTACCAAGCTTACAACTTGCACGACCGGTCGGCGGCGGCGGCGGCAGCCTCGACTGGATCGACGTAATCGCCATCTCGCATCACCTCTGATTACCAAGATGCCGCTCAGCAACTCCTTGTACCGAACAACATCGTCCTGGGTTTCTGGGTTTCTGGGTTTATTAACGGGGCGGCCAGCGGCTCGCGGATGACTGGAGATGAGGGACGTGGGTGGACTTCGCCGATTCGAATCGCGCGCGTGGGGTGTGTTGATGTCTTCTGGGCAACGAATCGGCATAGGCCCTGTAGGTCTGGGACGCATTTTCCCGCCATACTCACCGTGATATGGTCCGCCATCCCATAACTGCCGCCCGTTCGACTCGGGCGCGAGCCATGATCTGCCATAGTAGCGCCCTTTTTTGGCACTCCTTTTGCATCTGCTTCAAGGACGGATAGGGGGCCTGTGAACTTTCGGGCAAGCAGATTTCATTATGCATATCGGTATGGATCTGCAGACCCGGCCCGTTCGACTCGCACAGGTACGATCCTTGTTGGCTTTCGCGGAGTAGACAAATCATATTCATCAGTGAGCCTTGAATGCGAAATGGGGCTCAAACTTTCACAAGTTCCGTGCAAGGAAGGAAATCACTCACGGTTCGCTAAAAGTTAGTCGTGGTTGAAAAGTAGGTAGAGGAAGAGGTTGTGAAGAGGGCTTGGTCTCGTCCAGGACGCATCTGCGCTCAGTGACATTCATTTGGGATTGCCTTTATGCGGACTCCGCCCGTTCGACGTTTAAAATCGTGAAATTCAACACGTTGATGCCATGTAGTTAGTTAGACAGCAGAGGTCTCCGAACACGTTTGGGCGCCGACGACCCAAATAAGGCACGCTGGTGTCGCGCCGACTCTTCTTCCAGTAACCAAGCATTTCAGCCTTTCACTTCTGCAGACACCCTCCCGTTCGCCTGGGGCCGAGCCATAGATTGTTGACATCGCTTTTTCTTTCTCGCAGGGGTACAATCAACCAGACACAATTTTTGGCACTTTTCCTGAATGAGGTCTCACCTCAACCCCTGGTTTTATTCAGAGGCAGACAAGGAGAACGCGGTAAACCAGCTGCACGTGCTAAAATCAGCCGCTAGTCATCATTTGAAGACGCATTGACGAACCTATGGACAGGTTCGAAAGAGGAAGGCTTCGCGGTGACCGGGCTTTGAATGAGAAAAGTGCAGTATGAGATTCCCCCCGTTCGACTCGGGCTCAGTCTATGATGAAAATTATGTACGCCTTTCTTTTGGGGCGACCGGAGGGTGGTGCAAGTAGTCAAATGCAATCACATTTTGTCGTACAACTGGTAGATATTTGATCCCATGTAGCTTGGGCAGGGAACTAGTTGCAGGAGGCTTGGTAGCGTCCGGGACGCGTCCGCCATCAATGCTTTGGCATCATAGTAAACGATTCCAGCAGACCCACCCGTTCGACTCGGGCCTGAGCCATATCATTGACGGAAGTTTTTTTTTTTTTCCTTGTTAGGCTTCATTGCGATACTTTGAGAGAATTTCTGCGCAAGCGCCACGGAGAAGTGGGCACCCAAACGCAACCCTAACATCTGGTGAGAAGCTGAGCCTGGGGGGAGGGGGCAAGGGGATTTCGTCGCAACACTGACCCATTGATGCATGCAGGTGAAGTAATACAACGCTAACAGCGGGGTTTTAAGGGTATGTATAAGGCTTAGTAGCGTCCGGGACGCGTCTGTGTTCAATCTGGCAGCGTGAACATACAGCTTCTGCGGTCACCGCCCGTTCGACTCGGGCTTGAGCCAGTCGGAACGATCATCGAAGCTTCACCTCAGATTTACCTCAGAATTGAACATTTAGTCTCAGAATAAGCGGGACGTCTCCTTTTTGTTACCGTGTGATCGCAACGAGGGCTTTCAGAGCGAGAGAAGGTCCACGGTTGCGAGAAAACCAAAAGCGAATGAATGTTTGCAGAATCAATTGAGGCCGCAACTCTACTTTTAACCCGAGGGCTCGCAAGGCGATCTCGTCATTGATGTCTCAACACAGGTTCCGCCGAGGAATCCACCCGCGTCCAAATTGAGTGTCCCTTATTCCTTCCCATAAAACGCTCAGGGCAGGGAATATGCTTGAGCTAGGATGGCTCGGTAGCGTCCGGGACGCGTCCGCTTTCAATGGTTTTGGTTGGAGGAGTATTTGTGCAGACACCGCCCGTTCGACTCGGGCCCGAGCCATAAAAGGTGTATGTACGCTTTGAAATTTTGTTGTCGTGCCGTCGCCAAATGCAGACTGCCATAGTGCTGCAAGGATCGCCGCATAGTTTTACCAACGATATCTATCCTAGCATTGGCTGTTGTGCATGGCAAAGAGATGTCGATTGAAGTTGAAAATTCAACATCTGCTACTCTCTTTTCACAAACAGCTCTGAGGAATTTTGCGTGAGACACGGAAGGCCTAAATCCGAGCACGGAAGTTCTTGGCTGAGAGCCTCTGGGTAATAGGTATTGGCGGAGGCAGAAAAAAATTAAGAGACCTTCGGGTAGAGGCTTTGTTGGATGCACGAGGGGGGGGGGGGAAGTTAGACGCCCAAGGCCGCCGGTGCAGGCAATTTTGGCCGGGGACAAGAATAGAAACTGAACAACGTGATGGGTCCTGCGCTTGGCCCGTTCTGCTTGCAATTCCAGTGAAATCCTCAAGGACAATCCTCGCAAATCCCAACAGGCCTATGACACCACCAACAACCATCTCAGCCCGAAAAAAATTAACCAAGAAGTTGAACCACGAAACACGTGGCTGATCAAGTCATAGATCAGCGCCCGTATCCATCAATTTCTCCCACGTTGCGTTTCTCTTCCTCGTCGTCCATGCCTCCGTCGCTGCGCCCGTTCTCATTCTCTTGCCCGGCCCACGCTCGCTTGTTCGGACGCTCTTTATTCGGCCTGTAGCTGAGGCTTCCATCGCTGGACCCGATACCCACACGATAGAACACTAGAAAAGTCCCTGCAAGCACCTAGAGCCAGCAACGATGCACCTCCTCAGCGCACTGCTCCTCTGCGCCGCCTGCACGAGCACCCTAGCCTCCAAACCCCAGCACCAACCGCACCACCCCGCCCCCGCCGTGCCGCGCACGCACAACAACGTCGCTCTGCGTCTGCGCGGGCCTGCTAACACCACCGCACAAGTCACGAGAGCTTGGAAGGAAGGGACGGAGATGGGCAAGCGACTACACGGGCGCGGCGATGACGTGATACCCGACGAATACGGATCCCGACGCGTGTACGGAAGGATAGTGATTGGGTGCGTCGACCTCCCTTCTATTCTCCCTCCTCCTACAAAAAACTTGTATGACGGCAGTTCGTTCGCTTTCCCATCCTGTTGAGTCCCACCCGCGGACTCCCCTCCGAGTTTCGGTCGGCGTCCTCGTCTCTCTGTTGCTCCTCATCCCTCAGTAGCAACGCCGCCGCCGCCACTTGCTGAGACCCCCTTGCTTTCCCCTCCATCCTCCGCATCTTCCCCATTCCTCTCTTACTCCGCCTCATCCTCTCGCCCTCACCAAACCCCGCATCCCCTCTCTTGCCTCACCCGCCTCCGCCTTCTTCGGGTTAGCATTAAAGACTACCCCACTACGCCCTATCATCTGCTATTGCTACTCCGATCCGCACAATGCACGGCTCGAGTGAACTTCACCGCGCTCTAACGGTGATGCCACATCCCTTCCTCCTCTAGGCGAACGGTAGTCAACCTGATTGACTGCATTTGGCCTCAAGGTACTCAATCGCCCGCACATCGGCAAGCTATCGTGGAACTCTCATGGAACTCTCATGCAACCCAACACTCCCCTCGTCCAACCAAACCAAACCTAATTCAACTAAATCCGAATGTCGTCCCGCAGGGATGTAGTGTCAAGGCAGGCCTGGGCAACTGGTCGACCGCAAGTCTCGGACTCCCAGTTTGGATGCCGCTTGCAGCTAATCCCGGTACTTTCCTCCTCAACTTCGGCGGGACACTCTTGCGTTGATGGACGTCGGATTCCCTTTCGGATTGGCAAGCATTTCCAAGCACCTGAAATGGCCACGCGCAAACCTGTTCTGTGCATCCTTGCGCTCTGGTCACGCACTTCCCGGGTCGGCTCTGGCTCGCATCGCGAGGGGTTGTCGGGGCGTCAATAGATCTTCCGAAGGATTTTTACGACTCGGATGCAGCAACTGTGCCGCGAATGCTGTGTCACGTACGTCGGCTTCCCATCAGCGCGTACTTCCTGAGTTATGTTATAATCTATTTGGAACGAGACACGGATCCGGGACTGACAAGAGAATTGAGCACGGAGAAGCGAGCGAGGAAGGCTCTGTAGGTATCTGATATCGTCCCGTGTTGAAGTCGAAACCGTTTTTGATTGCCTTCCCAGGGGCGACAACGCACATTCATCCGTCAGCCTGCGAACTTGGACCGCAGCTGTTAGTGTTACAAGGCGTGAGTTGAAATCAATCAAAATCTTGCTAAAGTATGGTCGTAGTTGAAAAGAGCCACAGAAGGCTCGGTAGCGTCTGGGACGCGTCTGCGTTGTATTAAAGGGTACCGTTATAGCGCCTATATCTGTGCAGACCTGCCCGTTCGACTCGGGCCCGAGCCATGACGCAACTCCGCCATCTTTTTAGCTTGGGGATAACCTGACGTCTGCCTCACAGGAGTTCAATGAAAAGGTCTGGGACGTAGCCCGGACCTGAAGAATGCATTTATCTGCCTGTTTGACTCAATCGTACGGGTCCCAGTCATACTCGGGAGGTACGAACCCATTGTTGTCGATGGGCTCGCGCGGAGTTTTCACAAGGCGTGGAGTTCCGTACAAGGAACGTACCCACGGTTCACTAAAAGATAGTCGAGGTTGAACATGGTTGACCATGGCTTGGTGGCGTCCGGGACGCGTCTGCGTTGAATAAAGGGCTTGAGCTGTCAGGTTTGTGCAGGCTGCCCGTTCGACTCGGGTCCGAGCTATTATCCTTTATCGTGGGTCTCTTTTGTTTTATCCGGAGGGAGTCAGATGAGGATGATCTACGCCGCAGATCGGCTCAACCATCCCTGTACATGTGGAGTTCCCATGCAAAGCTCTTTGAGACAAGACAAAGAGGTGTCGATTGAGGTTGGACCTTCAAGTCTTGAAAATACTCGCGGAAAGCTCAAATCAGAGCACAAATGTCCGGGGCTCAAAGCAGGTGAATGAGGCTCGGTGGCGTCCTATACGCGCCCGATTTCAATGGGTGGCTGAAAGAGTATTTGTGCAGACACCGCCGCCTTCGACTCGGGCCCGAGCCATAAACGTTATTGGTCATTGTTCTTTTTTGTTGTCGCTTTGTTGTAGAGAGAAGTACTTATTGCTGCAGGTCAGAACACTGTGCAGACTGATATTGTTGTGTAGGGCGAAGAGAGGTATCGATTGAAGGTAGAATTTTGAGGGCATTCCGAACCCAACATCCCTTATGTAAATTCTTTTGAGCAAACAATACCCTTAGGCGGGGAGGCGGAGGGCCTGAGTCCCAGCACGTATAGCTGGGGCTTAAAGTAGGTGCAGGAAGCTTGGTAGCATCCGGGACGCATCCGCTTGCAATGCGGCGGCTTGAAAAAGTATTTCCGCAGACACTGCCTGTTCGACTCGGGCCCAAGCCATACATCCCACGAGTAGTCGTTTTTGGTGCCGTGTTGTGGCAAATGGGATGAGTTTTTGGGACCGAGAGAAAGTACAACCGAGCTGCGGCTGCGAGAACACTGAAGGGAAGGTTGGGGACTGAGCTGAGAGCGTAGCTTAAATTTCAACCCTAGACCTCATTACTGCTCTGATGTCTCAATACAGCTCCCGCCAAAAAACCCACCCACCTATAAATTGAGTGTACTGTACCCCTTCCCATAGACCGCTTAAGGCAGGGAATATGCTTGAGCTGTGATGGCTCGGTGGCGTCGGGGACGCATCTGCGTTCAATGCGTTTGAGAGGTCGACTCTCGAAGGATATCTCCGCAGACGATGCCTGTTCGAATCAGGCCTAGGCCGTAACTGTTGATATCTGTCGTTCTTTTTCGTTCTTTTGCTATAGCCCGATACACCTGCGATGTTGCTCCAAAAATCACAGGACTTATCCCACGGGGGCAAAAGAGGTGTCGATTGAAGCTGGAATGCAATTTCGTTTCGAACCACTGTGGCAAAACGGATGCCGGAATCACTCGGACAGGCTGAAATCCGAGCGCGGGTATGTGGGGTACTCAAAGTAGGGGCAGCAGGCTTGGTTGCGTCCGGGACGCACCTGCATCCATGTGAACAACACAATATGGCTGCAGAGTCCGCCCGTTCGACTCGGGCCGCGCCATTCAATCAAGCGCGAGTATGCTACAGACCTTTTTGCCTTTGTGATTTACTCAAATGCAGCTGTGGACCGCGTGAGGCTATGGATCTGGTTAGAACAACGCATACGATGCGAAGACTCAGCTGTCCACATCCAACCCGACTCGGTATAGAAAATATTTGATACTTCCCATGTTGAAACGCCAACCGAGAAGAGGGAAAGCTCGAATCTAAGAACAGGGTAAACAGGCTCGGTAGCGTCTGGAATACATCTTCGTTCAATTGAATGAGAAAATTGCCGCAGATTCCGCAGATTCCGCCCGTTCGATTCGGGCCCGAGCCATGGACTATACACTTGTTTGTTTTGAACGGGGGACTACGCATATGGGCTGCGACAATGTAAACCAGGCCGCCTGATCACGGGGTCGTCCGACTGAAGGGCGTGAGTGGTGGTTGTTACTGGAACACAACTTGCATCTGAACCAAATCCGAAGGGGAAGTTCGGAGGACGCAAGGAGAAGTCGAGAGGATAGAGTTTAGCAGAGGCTTCGTTGAGTACAGCCGCGAGATGAATACGAGATGAACGCAGGAGGCAACAGTTAGGCGTCCGTCGAAGCGCTGGCGCGGGCAATGTTGGCCGCACACAAAAATAGAACCGTAACAATGTGATGATTGCTCCCAGGCTGCATTTCTTTAAATTACTTACTCGCTGCGTACGCCACCCCATGAAATCCAGCTAAGATGAAATCCAACCAAGAAGTTGAACCACGGAGCACGTGGCAAATCAAGCCATCAACAAATGATCAGCGCCGTATCCATCAATCGCTCTCACGTTCGCTCGTTGCTCTTCACCTCTTCCTCGTCGCCCCCGCCGCCGTCGCCGCGATCTCGTTCTTTTACCCCCCGGCCCACACGCTCTCTCGTTCGAACGCTCTTTCAGTTGCTCTAAACTCAAGACTCCTGCACCCGCTGGACCCCGATACCCACACGATAGACATAGAAAATCATCCGCAATAGAAACGACGATGCACATCCTCTCCGCGCTGCTCCTCTGCGCCGTTGGCACACTCGCCTCGAAGCCGCAACCGCACATCCCGGCTGCGCCCCGCACGCACAACACCCTCGCCATGCGCCTGCGCGGGCCCGCGAACGCTACCTCGCGCGAGATTAGTGGAAACGGGATGGAGATGGGAAAACGGGACTCATACACGGGCGTAGTGATGACGTGGTACCCGACCAATACGGGCCCGACGCGTACACGGGAAGAGCACGGCTGGATGCGGTGCGTATTCGTGACCGCTTTCCATCTCTCCCTCCCTCTCCATCGTTCCCCACCTTCCCTCCCCGTGCGCTCCCTTCGCATGCTCCCAACTTGAACTTGCCGTCTATCCCTTTTAATCGCCGCCGCTTGGTGGTACTCATGCGTTTTCTCCTTGCTCGCCCCCCCTCCTCCTCCATTCCCTTCCTTCATCCCGTCTTCCTCTCCTCTCTCCCTCCCGCCGCACGTTTCAAAAGCTGCATTACCGCGCACTACTAGTGCCGTCCGCAGTGCGCATCCATCAACATCTGGGGCTCCCTCGAAATTCCACAGGGCCTCTTCCAGTTGCTCAACCCGGGGATTGGCGCATCTACGCGAGTGATCCACCTTGTACCTACGCACACCACACCGAAATTGACCTGCAGGACGCCCAAACCTACTGCGCATTCGACCGCACACACGCACCACCACATACCACCGCGTCTTATTCCACTACCTCTGCGAAATCGCGCTCCTCGGCGCGGCCTGGGTCGACCGCACCACCGAGTGCGACGCCGAGTGCGAGTAGCTCAAGAGCGCTCAATTTGACGAGATTGGTTGTGCAGGCGGCGCAGTAGTTGAGTTTTCAAACTTTGTTCATCGGTTAATCCTCGGGCAAGTTCGTTGTGTGAGGGTCTGGGATCGGTTTTTCTAGGTCCTTGACTTTCGTCGTTTGGGCGGGCACCGCAGTAGCTCTGGGCGTTTATCTGAAAGTAACGGGTCGGCTTCTGTGTAGGGCCCCCGCGGATTTTAGCTGATTCTATCTTTATAGGTCTTGGCGTTGGCCATGGGTCGTGGTTGTGCGTACCACTACATTCTGCTTCCGCATCCAGATCCGCATCCTACTCATTGCGTCCACATTCTACTCACTGCTGCTGGCTCACTATCTGTCGCTACTCATCCGCACATCCCCCGCCTACGACCAGAGTAACCTGTCTCCTTGCCTATCGTTCCATCTTCCACTCAGCGCAGACGACTGGGGAACTGGAATTGCTCACCCTCTCATCTGCGCTCGAACAGCATCCCAAACCTAATTAAACCGAATCTCATCGACTGAGCACTCTTTGTCGATACCCCCAATCTGAATCTCGTCTGGCACTTCAAGGCGTGCTTGGGCGACTGGATTGACGTCCTCCAACTCATAGCTCGAGCGGATAGAAGGACACTAGTCTCCAATTGCGTCAAATTTCAACAGCTCACATGCAAATACACACACGTCGCGCTAACGGATAGCGAAGTATCAACATGTAATTCTCCGAGGCCCACTGGACGTTCTATCGTAATCGCAAAGAGGACCATGATGCGAATCAAGGAATACACGTGAGCGAATTCAAGCAAGCAAGTGTATCAGGGGATGGGAAGTAGGTAACGGGGCTCGGTTGCGTCCGGGATGCGTCTGCGTTGAATACGCCAGAATTCCATGAATGTTCGCAGACTGCCCGTTCGACTCGGGCCCGAGCCATCAGCATTTGTGGTCACCCTTTTTCTTTCCCTTTTGCACACCAAGTGCAGGTACTCAGCAGCGGCTTTGGTATTCCAGGGCGCCCAGACGTGGAGCTTCAGCAAGGCGATGGAATTCGGTGTGAATGACTCCCTGGTGGAACGATAATTCATCGTGCATGGCTGCACCTCGTTTTTGTGGTGGGTTGGGTTCGGATGGCAACCGGCAAATACATGGGTTGAGATCGAATGCTACGTACGGAGCCTAAGGGCCCTCAGGCGTCAGGCGCTCCACCCACCCTCCGATTCTAACTTCCGAATAATTTTCCAGTACGGAGAAACCAATACGTGAATAAGGCTTGGTCGCGTCTGGGACGCATCCCTGTTGAATATAGCTTCGTACCAATTTCTGCAGACCTGCCCGTTCGACTCGGGCCCGAGCCATCACGCGATTCCTGGCTATCTTTTTAGTTTGGGTATAATGGTTAACCTGACGTCTGTCTCAGTTCGACTCGGCCGTACGGTCCCAGTCGTACTTGGGAGGTACGAGCCCACTGTTGTCGAT